AAACTGGATCATCATTAGTAAACAGAGTGCAGATTGGTTGATTATGTATGACTCTGACAGGCAGCCTTCAAAAGTGGGGCCCCTTCCTCCAGCCGTCCCGTAATCCTCAAAGCAAATTGTTGCTGCACACCTGGAGGAACCAAGGACCTCCCTCCTGCATCACAGAATGGCCACCAGAACATCTTGGCACTGCCTTGCAGGCTTGACCCACTGAGAGCCCAGGCAACGGCTGCCCTTAGCCCACATGAGTTATCTGAAAGGAGCCAGGCTGTCAGGAGGTGTCTGAAAGTACTGACTGTCAAAGCATGGACAGGTTATATGCAATTTCTCTTAGCAAGTGGCTTACAGGCATAGGGCCGCATGCACTCCCACAAGGGAGTGGAGATTGTGTGCTCTTGGGGGATCAGTTCACATTTACTTCTAATTCAGCCAGACTTCTGCAACGGCTTTCCCAGGACTCTTGTTTTGGTCCACACTGTGCACATAACCAGAAGGGCCAGACGTAGTTCGAGATACTGACAGCCAAGAGTCAGGGGGCACTAGATGCAGAACATTCCATCTCACCCCGTCTCTAGACACTGGAACTGGGTGTGGTGGATTCCAGTGCTGATCAGATGAAGCACTACATGGCCACAAAAGACCACTACGTGCCCATCTCCTGCCTGGCCACATCCCCGGCCACCACCACTCAAAGGAGAGAAAAACAGCAATACAAAAACAAAATAACTGGGCTCATCCTGAAAGGCCTGTAGCTCAGTGCCTGGGTTTGGCCCTGAGCCTTTCCTAATGTCCTTCATTTATTTCAGCATCCCCTAAGAAGGATAAGAAGTTTCCGGACCTGCAACGCTCTCTTCCCTCTGAGCAAAGAGTTCCTACTCTAGATAGAAGTTCCCCTGATGAACAAAATGTGCTTCTCACCCCTTCACACCAAACCCAGAAATGGGTCGCAGGAAGTTTCTGTGGCTGCCACAGCCCTCTGGTCATTGAAGGGGATGCCTGTGAAAGAAACCAGCCCTGTTTGCCTCACAGGTGCTGGAGGAGGCCTGCAAGCTTGGCACTGGGAGGGAGAAATGGACCTTTGCCTACTGGCCAGGCTTGCTGCTGTGAAGTTACATTGGATGAGCCATAATAGCAATAGAGCCTTGAAACTCAGGCTGGTTTTTTTCAGTGACCTTAAGCCCTCCCAAGTCCATGCTGACTTGTACTTGTTGTAACGGCTGCCACAGCTGCCAGGAAGCGTCATCCCCACTTCTGCCTGGCTGAAGGCCTAGAGCATTGGTTCTCAACCTGTAAGTCACAACTCCTTTGGGGGTTGAGTGATCCTTTCACAGGGGCCGCCAAAGACCATCAGAAAGCACGGATATTTACATTGCGGTTCCTAGCAAGCAGAAAATTTACAGTTATGAAGTAGCAACAAAAATAATTTTATGGTTGGGGGCTCACCACCACATGAGGAACTGTATTAAAGGGTCACAGCATTGGGGAGGTGGAGAACCACTGGTCTAGACTCAAACTGTAAAATGTCTACAAGCACAGCATGGGTGGGCCTTGGTTAAGATAGATGTGTGCACAGAAACAGAACGCGCGCGCGCGCGCGCGCGCGCACACACACACACACACACACACACACACACACACACCCGGTCCCTGATTGATTCTCAGAGCTCACAGGCCTGGGTTTAGCCTGGACGTCCAGTCTCACTGAAGCCTGGAATGTGGCCCCCTTGGGAACAGGTTTCCCTCACCACCACCTCACTCAGGGAGTGGAGGGCACCCCTTTGCCCCTTTGCGCCATTCTGTGCTCTGGCACCAAAGGAAGGAAGACAACTTGGCTTCAGCCTAAAGCTATAAGAGGCCTCTGCTACTAAAAGAAGAACTATGTGTGTGGTGGGTGGAGGGGGGAATCTAAATAAACCTCCTTTGAACTTCTCCCTTCTAGAGCGTCTTAATGCTTAGTGCTTACCACCATTTTCCAGGTTGTATGAAGGAAGACAAGAAGTCTTCTGATCCCTGCCACCAAATCACTCTGCTGGTAAGCTTTTGCCGGGCCTTGCACCCATGGCATGGAGAGGAGACCCCGGGAGGGCAGCCTATCTTGGCCAGGCTCTCTTATACTTTCCCTGGGGCCTCTGAGCGGCCACCAGAGCCCAGCTTTCACTTTCTCACCAGAGGACTCACTGGCAGTTAGGAATCCTTTCCCAGCACTGGGTCACCTGGCAGGCTCAGCCAGAATGTGGCTGAATGTGAACACAAGCTCATCTTGAGCCAGGGTAGCCACACTCTCCAACCAGGGGACACAGGACAGCTCTTAGCTGGTGGAAAGGCCAAACCCTATGCTTCAGGTCCAGGGACTCTCCTGCACCTGACTCACCCCAGGTAGAAACTGAAGCAACATTTGTGAAGCCCCAGTAGAGATTAGCATTTAGAGACAATGGCAGACATACAAACACACTCACAGAAAAAGCCAGAGTCGGGCGGTGGTGGCACCCACCTTTAATCCCAGATCTCAGAAGGCAGAGGCAGGCAGACCTCTGAGTTTGAGGCTAACCTGGTCTACAGAGCGAGTTCCAGGAAAGCCAGGACTACACAGAGAAACTTTGTCTCAAAAAATCAAGGGAGGAAAAGAGGGAGGGAGGGATCTCTGGTGATATGACTGTAACTAGGGTTATTCACTTTGCCTTGGAATGTCCAAACAGTTTTCTAGGAAGAATCTTGGAACCTCAGAACAGAATCCATTTTCATTTAAGAGACAAAAGGTCTAGGCAGGGAGAAGACTGACTTGCTTCAGGTGTCTCTCTCAGGAGATGCCCTGTCGTACAATATATATACCTGAGTGGCCTCCTATGAGGCGGACCCAGGCCACACTGTGAAGAGAGCTGACCCCTTAGTGTACAGAAGCCCTGAGACTCCTCAGGCACATCAGCTGCCCACCCTATGGAGACCTAGTGACGTCTCACCCACTCCCCAAATTTTACAACTTCCTCCTTTCCCACTCCAGACACTTCTAAAAGAAAGATGCCGGCCCACAGCTCCCTGACAAAAAAGCTGCTTTCAGACCCTTCTCCTTCCCACCCCATCTGCTGCCGACTGCTGATGCTGATCCGGGGTCGTCTGAGAGAGACTCTGCTTCCCTGGACTCGCAAGAACACACACTCTGGAGAACCAGCAAGGCCCGTAACAGCGTGTTCTCTGCTTTTCTGGACAGACTCCATCAAGAGAGGAGCTGGCCTCTGGGGGCACAAGACGCTCTCTTGGGAAGAATGCGACTCGACACCCTGCTCTAAGAACAAATGCAACCTCCGGCCTCATTTGGGTTGGCCTTGAGTGCGAGTAACTGGTGGGGTGAGCATCTGTAACACTAGCCATCTCCTGTTTCATCCAGTGTGTGTCCAGGCTCCCTTCAGGACTCCCTCACACCCAGCTTCTGTCCCTGCTGACGCCACGATGGCTGTCAGGGAAGATGAACGTGGGACAGAGAGATCAGCTGGCCTTCGGCAGCACTACCACACAGTGCACAAGCTTATTACCCTCATGCCGCTTGAGCATAAAAATGCCCGGGAAGTGAACAAAGGCCAAGCATGAACATTACAGCCCAGTGCAGCGCCAGCCTTGCTTCCCCACAATAAGATTAAGAAGTGGACCACCCTCTCTGCAAAGCCCAGCCCAGCTGCTTGGTAACCCCCCAATCCCACAAGGCCAGAGTCTAGGAATCCTTATAATGCCTTCCTGCCAATGGAGGGGTTTACCTTAATCCATAAATTATAGCTTCAAGCACCACACCAGACCAGCTTGGTGTCTGGCAGGCCCCTGGGCCCAGCTGGCCACGCTGCCCCTGCTTCCTGAGCAGGAATGTTAAACTTAGCTCCCTGGAAGTAGTGGTTGAAATTATCTGACATAGTAGTGCACTCTCCCCCTCACAAATTCTCGGGATTTCAGCGGGGATACTTTGGTGATCTCAGCCTGGGGAGAAGGGGACATCCTGACAGACAGGGTCCCTAATCAGCCAGCTCAGTGTGGACAACAGCTTCCAGCCCAGGAATTTCAGGGAGCAGCTGAATTTGTCCTGGTCACCCAGCCTTCCTAGATCTCAGATGGTAGACAAATGGTGAAGAGTTGTTCCCAACTGTACAGACAGCGGCCTTTCTCTGCCTCTGGGCAAAGCTAGTTTAACCACATCCCATCTGCCCCACATGCAATGGTCCTTTTGTGGTCCTAAAATGCATCCTTGAGAAAACAGCCATCAGAAGCAGGATTGGAAGAAGAGCCCTAGTGATGGTTTCCCAGAGGTCCAAGGGAGACCTGGGCGATGTTCCTTTCATTCAGTAAACAAAGAACACGCGAGGCCTCAGAGGCAGTGGACAAAGGTGGCCAGTCTAACGACCACAGCCTTCTGTGGTGCAGCCTCAAATGCACGGAAGTAACTACTCTCAACCATCACCTGCGACACATCTTGTTAGAAAGAGGTCATAGCTAAAAAGGGGGTGGACATTTCCCTGCTATACAATGCCCAACCCAACTCAAGATATTTTTATACAAAAGTTGTTTGGCCTAGTCATACACACACACCAAAAAAAGTGTCAAAATGTTTGGTTCTATCCAAAGGTAGTAAATACCCAAAAATTTTCTCAAAAAAAAAAATAGTCAACTGTAATTTTCATTAATTTTTTATAACTATCTAATACAACTTTGAGTGCCATTTTTATTATTATGGCATCATGCCAATTTGACTGCAAAGCAATCACTATTAAAACCATCATTTAAAACAGAAGAAGGGCCGGGCAGTGGTGGCACACGCCTTTAATCCCAGCACGTGGGAGGCAGAGCTGGGGGATCTCTGTGAGTTCAAGGCCAGCTTGGGCTACAGAGTGAGTTCCAGGAAAGGTGCAAAACTACACAGAGAAACCCTGTCTCAAAAAGCAAAGAGAGAGAGAGAGAGAGAGAGAGAGAGAGAGAGAGAGAGAGA